ACATAGAAATGTGTAATCTAACTAAGTGAAATATCTGTCAAATTTTTGGCTTATCCAGTTGACAGAATTGCACAGTGGAGCATTGTACCAGGGGATTTCAAGGTGAGGGTGTAAGAATGGAATGTCTGACAAGTCTGAGATTAAGAAAGACTCCCCCAAAGAAATAATATGAGTTATCACAGAAATCAGAGAAACTAAAAAGAGCATTATTATCTATTTCTTTCGGTTACCAAAGAAGAAACTGCTCACTGGTAGTAAAAAGAGCAAAAACTTAAAAGATTCTAGGCTCTAATTCTATTTTCAACATCCACAAGCCAGTCTTAGGAAATGAAGTTAACCTCTGTTTGATCAAATTCTCTCTCACAGAGTATTTGGGAAAACTGTAAGAGAATGTGTAATAGTACCTAGAGCATAGTACCTAACCCAGAATTGATATTCAAAAAATTTCCATTTCCCACTTTCTTTACCCTTCAAAATCAGATTAAGATAGAAATATTTTCATGAAAATAAATGATTTTTCCCAGTTTTCCAAAATCAAGTGCCAGGGATCTGGTAAAAGTCTTTGGCAGCTGAAATTTTGGCCTATTCTCACCGAATCCTGGTCTAAGAATTTAAAAATTTAATTCATGAGGGAGATCTTTGAAAATGCTTTTTAATCTTCCCAGAATACTTCCAACTTCTATCAATTTTAATGCCAAAGAAAAAAAGGAAGGTATGAATACTTTTAAAATGCATAAAGCAGAAAATTTGCTTTAAAAAGCATCAAATAATACAGAACTATATAAGTAGATAGTATTAAAGTTCAGCATTCGTATAGGTTAAATCATATATAACAGGACACTGGAAGGGAAAGAACGGAAAATGAAATGGAATCAAAATTTCACACAAAGGCAAACTGACAGAGCAATTGAGGGGGAACATCTTTTATCCAATCAAGTCAGTAATTTTAAAAACTATCTTTAAATAGTATTAAAGAAAATGTACATTAATTTCTGAAGAGGAAAGAAATTAGATTGAGACAAACTAATAATTTATGGATTGACACAATTTAAGTTTTAATTCTGTATTCACTTTAATTTTTGTTTCCTAACAAATATACTTTTCTATATTTTTATGTTTGTCTGTCTAAATTCAGAGCCTGAATATATTTTCTTAATAACCAGTAAAATTCATGAATTTTAGGATTTAATAAATTTGAAACAATGCAAATTACAAAACTGTTAATTATTTTTATTATCTTAGAAATTTATAAAGTAGATCTCATCAAATTTTTACAATGAATTAGATATGCCAGATGGTAACTATTGTATTTTCTCCCAATTTTCAAAAGCAGCTCTATTCGTGAACATTTCAAAATCACTATCCATAATTCATGAATTATCCCCATTCTTTGACCCTTCAACTGATCTTCACATAAATCCAACTGATAATATAATACTGTAAATTACCATTATAAGAAAAAAGTTTTAACTTAGTTAAGCAGTTACCATCAGCTGGAAATAGAAGTAAACTGGTTATATATTAAAGCAATTTTAAATTCTAACACTAGTATTGAAAGGCAGTATAAAATTAGTGTTTCAAGTTGGGTGGGATGGTGCACAACTATAATCCCAGCTACTTTGGAGAGTGTTAGGCAGGAGAATCTCAAGTTTGAGGCCAGCCTGGGCAATTTAGTGAGACCCTCTCTCAAAATAAAATAAAAAGGGGTGAAGGCATAGCTCAGTGCTAGAGCTCTTGCCTAGCATGTATGAGGCCCTGGATCCAAACCCCAGTACAACAAAAAATAAAATAGTGAATCAATATAAAACATCCTGCATTGAGATCTGAGTTCTGGCTTGATTGAGGTGGCCACTGTATACGTCATTTAGCATTTATAAAACAATATTTTATAAAAACCATAATTCTGTCTCTCACACACGTGCACCGGCTGAAAGTTGCCCATCCTGATTCAATTACGTTCTCCATAATAATAGCGAATGTCTAATGCATATAATAAATGCGTGATGAGAAATACCAATTTCAAGAATAAAAAGCATAGCTTAAGCAGTCACAAAATTTCCAAACTTGATTTCTTTTTAATATATATTTTTAAGTTGTAGATAGGCACAATACCTCTTTTTTTTCCTTTTATGTGGTACTGAGGATCAAACCCAGTGTCTCATATGTGCCAGGCAATTGCTCTACCACTGAACCACAACCCCAGCACCATCCAAATTTGATTTCTAACTGGAGCTATTCAAAGTCAACAACTGTTTATTGAATGCTGCCAGTATCTACATGGGTAGGAATATGTATCTCAGACCAAGAAAGGGATGTATGGAGGTTACAAGATAGGAAAACCTTGCAAAAGCAAAGCACAAAAAACATTATTATAGTTAAATACAAAGTGTATGTGTGTGGTGGAGAGGAGGTAATGATGGCAGTGGTTGTAGAGGTAACTAGGAGCAAAATTACCCAGGGCTTTGTAGGCTATATTAGTAAGTTTGGACTTCATCCCACGAACATGAGGAATCAAAGTGTCTAAGCAATGGTGTAGCATAATTCATTTCCATTTTTGAAAACTCATTCAGCTGGGCCAGGTGGCGTATGCCTGTAACCCCAGCCCCTCGGGAGGCTAAGGCAGGAGAATTTAGAGTTCAAAGCAAGCCTTAGCAAAAGCAAGATGCTAAGCAACTCAGTGAGACCCTGTCTCTAAATAAAATACAAAACAGGGCTGGGGATGTGGCTCAGTGGTTGAGCGCCCCTGAGTTCAATTCCCATTACCAAAACCAAAAACCAAAACCAAAACACTTTAGGCTACCGTGCAGAGAACAAACAGCAAGTGGGCAAGATTGGAGTTAGGGAAACCAGTTAAGAGGCAGCTTTGGTAACCCCGAGATGAGGAGGGGCATGAATTAGAAGGCAGTACAATGGTCATTAAGAGTAAGGCCTCCAAGGGCTAGGAGGTGGTTCAGTGGCAGAGCATGTGCTTGGCCTGTGAAACACCCTGGGTTTGGTTCCCAATATCAAATAAAAAATAAAGTACCTCTGATGTCATTTGCCTATATTGAAATCCTGGATTGTCCACTTACCAGGTGTATAATTTTGAGCAAGTTGCTTACTCTCTCTACACCCATTTTCTATAATCCAGAGATAAAAATCTTCACAGGTTAGTTGCCAAAGAATAATAAAAAGAATAAAATAATACAAAGTATTTATCATGTTGCCAGGCTGAATGAGAATGCAAATGTTTATTATAATTATTAATGCAATGTGAATGGTATGGAGAAATGATGTTTATGGTATAGATGTCTGATGTTCAGGCAACAAGAACAGTTTGAACATAGGAAAAAGGGATGAGTGTACCTACCTACGCTAGTTTCTGGCTAAGATAATGGTGTTGATGAGAGAAACACAGAAGTCTTGAAGAAGACAGTGTTCATTTTTTAATAAATTGTTAGAGGCATGCAAGTAGGTGAGTGAATGCATACTATGAAGTGAAGAAAATAGACCAGGCTAAAGATCTGACATTCAAAGAGACAGACGGTAATGGGCACTGATGAAAGCTCCTACCGAAAGAATATGCAGTGAAGAAATGACGAAAGGTAGATCCTAGGGAACAGCAAGGAGACATTGAGAGCTAGAGGTCAAACAGTAAAACAGTGGTAGGGTATGTCAAAAGCCAAAGGGAGGGAAAAGTGTTTCAAAAAAGAGGAAGTGCTCTACAATATATCTGCCCAACAGTGAAATTAGTTAAGAACTGAAAGTTTTCATTGGATTTAACAGCAAAGTTATTCATTTCATATAATAAATGTGTCAAGCATTATGCCAGGCTCTGAAGATATAGATATGAGTAAGAAAAGACCCTTGCATATACTGACTTTATGATGTGAAGATGAGAGTAAATGACCAGCAAATAAAATAGTTAGAAATTGTGATAGGGACAGTGGGTAAAGACAGAATAACATGATATGTCAGTAAAGGGAGTTTTCAGATAAGAAGTTTAGGAGGCTTTCTGAGGAGGGAAAATTAAGCTGAGACTTAGAGCAGGGAAGGTTTTAGCATGGCCAGAAAATTCAAAGGAGGTGGCAATGTGGCTATAATGCACGAATGGGGGTAGAAAGAAGAAAAAAGCCAGACCTCGTTTGTAGATCACACTAAGGACATGGTGAGAAGAGTTTAGATAATGACCTGTTGAACGTTTATAAATAAGATTAAGATCATTCTGGCTGACAGAACTTAATGGCTTGGTTTTCCTCTATACGTATACAGTCTTAACAATCAGAAATGAGATGTTATACTCTTTCAAACATTGTCTGTTGCAATATCAGAATAAACTTTTCTATTTTAAAAGATACTACACAATCATATGCTGCATATGTTTTTCTAATGTCCTTTTTAATCTCCTTCCATATTTCTTTTTAAAAATATTTTTCATACTATCTGCTTGGTTCTATCATTAACCTACATTTAAAAAAATATTTCTCATACTATCTGCTTGATTCTATCATTACCTAAATTTCTCTGCGTTTCTCATTTTCAAGCAATGTACATCAGAATTTGAATATTTTATAACAAGACTCTGCAAGGTGCTAATAAAATGCACATGAGCCAATAGCACACCAAAAAACTGGTGAAATTCATTGTTAAAAGATTATATTCCATAGTTTGGGTTTCCTATTTCTTGAATCTGTATTTATACACATATACACACACAATGAAGAAAAGTTAATGCAGAAACTCTGGCTTCATCCTGAGCTATTCAATTGTATGCATATTACTTTCTAATTTCCTTATCTGCCAGAGAAAGAATTTATGGCCCTTCCTTTCATATTTCATGAGGATATCAATAATAATGAATACTACCATTTACTTAATACCTGTTAATTAGCTGGGTAAGGTGGTGCTCATCTGTAATCTCAGTTACTCAGTAGGCCAAGGCAAGAGGATTACAAATTCAAGGCCAGACTTGGAGACTTATCGAGATCCTTTCTCAAAATAAAAGGTAAAAAAAAGGGGGGGGGGGGGAATATAGTAGAGTACCTGGGTTCTTTCAATTCCCAGTATCACAGAGGAAGAAATACCTATGAGTTATCAGACAGTGAGCTAACCATATTATATAAATTATTTTTATCAACCCAATATCTCTGAAAAATAGACATTATCCTTCCCATTTTAAAGGTGAGAAAACAGTTGCACAGAGTTTAGGGGACTTGCCCAAGATTACAGAGCTGGAATTTAAGTCCAGTTCCATGTGTATGAAAACTGTGTCCACTATACTAAAATGCCTCAGACCATTAACAGATTTGGTTCATTAGAAATACCTGTCAGATATGAGATATTAAATCATAAAAATAAATTTTAAATAATACAAAAAGTTTTATTCAATTTTAATACCATGTACAACCAAAACATCAGCCATACACACATATTCTTATATTCCGCCCTTTGGCATAATAATTTGATTTCAATTTTTTTTGTATACTGGAGAAGAAAGGTTAAATGGAAGCTGTAACACTGTATTTACACTGTATTTAAGGCCCAAGTATTTTCATTCTGGGTCAAAGTTTTTTCCCACTTGATGCTTAGTGCACATATTTAATTGAATGAATTATCAGCAATTAGTTAATTGCTATTCACGAAAAACATTCTTGTCTCTCAAAGTTAAAACCTACGAATGGCCTAATGTGTTCCTGAATCAGAAAAACCTAACCTCTGATTAGAAACTATAAATGTCATTATTTCTCTGAACCTGAAAGGCAACAAGTCTGAAGAAATGCTTAATAATTTGTTCTAAGCAGAATATATACATCATACTGTGAACTCTTCCATCTAGGATTTTTCAGATAGCAAAGTCATCCACCAAAATACTATTTGAAGTCCAGATATTTAACAAAAAGAAACTGCTGCCAGATCATCTTTATTTTCCTTAACAAAATACACACAAGAGCACAAAATTCACTTATATATCATCATTATTTTACAAGTATAAATAATACTAAGAATTCAAGTACAGTCAAGTGCAGATGTATTTCCTATATGTTAATATGTAAACATAAACTAATTATATACATCATGTGCCTTTGGCCCAGCTGCAAAATAAAAGACATCAAAAGAAACACTGTACTTGACTGTTCAATTGCATTCTTGAGAATTCGTACCAATGCCTATGTAGTTACAGTTGTAACTTTCGTATCACTTAATGTAAACACCCAAATAGACATTTCCTCCCCACTGGCAAATATCTCAAAATTTAAATTATTTCCGTTTTTAATGAGAAAGTACTCAAAATCTTGTGTTTCATTCCTTAAAACAAACACTATTAGAGAACTTATTCCTAATCAAAGTTCTTCCTATGTCAAAATATTATTTATAGGTTACGCATATAGAAAACAAGAATGCTATTTTTTTTTTTACTTTTAAAATAGACAAAAAAAAATATCTAAAAGCTGTCTAAAGAGTGTGGATCTTTATGTATTCAAAAGGTTCTTAATTAACTGATACCAGTTGCTCTTAATACCCAGTAGATATAACTCTTACACACTGAAATTGCTAGGCAATCTGAATTCAAATGATATCAAGCATATACTTAAAAGGGCAAAACAATTTTTAAGAAGTACCACAAAAAAGCAATAACTGACATCAATAAGACTACAAACATCCAGTTGAAGGCACGTGGAAGCATTTACTACTTTGTCATCGAAGATTCTCCACTTAGTTCAAGATCAGAAATAGAATCAGCTCTGGGAACTGTTGATTTGGCTTCATTTATTGAGGTTTCTTCATTCTCAGTCTCTTCTTTCTCCTCTGGTTCCTCTAAGCCAGATGCATTTTCAATCACTTGGTCCGTCTGCTCTATAGCTGATATTTTGTCATCTGTTTGCTCTGTATTATTATCTAGAACATCTTGTTCTTCTAAAGGTTCTGGAAAGATAAAGATTCAAGACTTCAGAATACCTAAATGTTAAAACCTCTAATTAACTAAAAGGTACACATACACATGGAAAACAGTAGAATGGTCTAATGTTACTCTTACAATCTTTTAAAAGAGGTACTTAAATCTCTATAGGATACCATTTGAGTTAGTACAACTGAAGAATAGCCCCTAATCACACATCACATATTTTTATACAAAATAAACTCCTGAAGATACATTTTTAAGTTAAATGTCCAAAATTCAAAGTTCCAACAGAATTATGTGGTATAGGACAAGTGTCCAACAAGCAAATGTATGCGTTCTCAGGTTGTGGGTTATGTTTTCTGAAGAAACTGTTTCCCCTGTACCCAAGAAACTCTGAAAGCAATGTTCAAATAAGTACTTCTATATTTGTATTGTGCATACATATGTATGTATGGCAATGTTTTTCTCCAAAGGCATACCAAGTCTCCCCTTCTCCTTAGCAAGGTAAGTCTTTAGTATTGAAATTTCTCTCTAGCATGCTAGAGAGAGAAAACAGATGTTTCTCTTTGTTTTGTTTTTTCAATCTTGTCTTAAAAACTGTCTTGGTCTCTACCTAAAAAATGTATTCTCTTTAAATTTTCTTTTGAGTTTTATTAAATTTAAACCTCTTAATAATAATTTAATAATAACAATTTTATTAATTAAACTAATTCTTTAAAGTTTGAAAAACAGGCTGGAGGAAAGGAATGACAGGAGCAGACAAGCTTTGGGCTACCCAGTTTCCAAGTCAAAGATAAAAATCTAGCTTTGAGGTATTTATTTTGTTTTTGAAATAAACAGTAATTAATATTCTTGCTAAGAGAAATACACTTAAAACCATATAAGCTAAGCCAAAAAGCAAATTTTCTACTTCATTGAAGATTCCTTATGATATATTGTAAATAATACTGATTCAAAAAAATCTGGAGGGAAGGCCAGACTATTGGCAAAAATTTCTAGTTAAATTCCTTGCATGGTATAAACCAAAGTTTGCAAACTAAATAAATAAAATATTTCTACAAAGAATTATGTTATATACACTCACTTTAACATGGAAGTCTTAGAAATTCATGGTTTTACCATAACAGTTTCAATAAAGACCAATTATTCCTTTCTCACATGCTCTATGCCAAGACTTTAAAAATACTTTTAAAGTATTATTTCCTTAAACATATGGACTCTGGACTCTGGTTTACAGAATTAATTATAACTAACTTCTTCCTCTTTATATATGGAATAAAAGGCCTAAATTCCAGAGTTAGTGACATTCAACTTAATGAGATCTTACTGTACAATAATTTCATGTGATCACAAAAAGTAGTGGGGCATATTCATAAATCATACTTGTGACAAATATCATAAAAATCCTACTTGTATCTTAATACAAAACTTAAAATAGTATCACTGCACCACTGGGAATCTAAACAAAACTCCAATGTAGAAAAGCAGCAAGTTATTCAAATTTTGTTTTTTGAGTGCTCTAGGGCACAAAAGAAACAGGGAGAAACAGCAAATAAAACTCTATAGCATGTACAAATTATTTTTGCTACAAAGACAAGCAAGTTCTTCTGTAGAAAACCTTAGGAACTGCCAACCATCTACCCTCACAAAAATAATCCAGTGTAGAATTTTAAGAGTCAGAGTTTTCCACAACTCTCTGGCCGTAGAGCAAAATCTACTTGGCAAGAACTTTCCAGTGTGTTTAGTAAGCCTTCTGAAATAAACTAATAAAATCACTCAAAGTGAAACAAGGAAAAGACAGAATCTAGGATGCAATAGTAAATAAGTAAATATAGGACACACAAAATCATATTCTGACAGACTGCCTCAATACTATACTAAAATGGGAGAGGTATCAAAGTTCATGGTTTATTATATTAAAGTGTTGATATTATTTTTTTCAAAAACATGCTCTACTAGTCAAAGCCAATTTAAAAATTCTAGGTTCATAAAAAAGCAGTTAATACCAAAAGGAGAATTATAATACTGAAATTGTTAAGTGTCTATATATAATACATGAATTCAAAGAAATACAATGAGCTGGCACAATTAGAAAACATGACACACAAAGTTTCCAGGCAATAGTATATTTCAGAGAATATATAGAACACTAAAAAATTGGTGAAATAATGAGAGGGATTTGAGAATGATCCAAGAGCCCATTAATAATTACTTTTGTTCCCTGGGGTTGTATTATAGTTTGAAACCGAAATGTCCCCCAAAAGCTCATATGTCAAAATCATGGTCTCCAATGAAGCAAGGTTCAGAGCTAGGCTTTTAGGAAGTGACTGGATCATGAAGACTGATAGCTGAATGGACTACTAGGAAGTGGGAAGAAAATGGGTCACTGGGTGTATGTCCTGAAGGATTTATCTTCTCCCAGACCCTTCTTCCTTATCTGTCTGCTTCCCAGCTGCCATGAGCTGAGCAGCTTTCCTTTGCCATGCCCTTCCACCATGATGTTCTGCTTCACCTCAGAAATATAGCTAGCTGACTATGGATTCAACTCTCTGAAATAGTAAGCCAAAATAAATCTTTCCTCCTCTAAGTTGTTTTGGTCACAGCAACAAAAAGTTAATAGAGGTTCATTTGCAGGAAAACAGTCCTAAAACAGTAAAGTTACAAAAAATTGGTATGTGACATGCCTTATAATGCAGACTTCAGTTATTCTAAATGAGATAGGTATTTGATGTTTAGAAGCCAATTCCATTTTGTAAGAAATCATACAAACAATATCTAAATGCATTAGATATAAAATATTAACAAAAAATTTCATATTAATTTAATAATTAATCTCAGACATAATAGTAGGACTATTTTATGTCTCAAACTACTTATTTTCTATAGGAGGGCATCATTCACTTAGTCTAATAAAATCAGTATTTTTTTTTCATGAAGTTGTAGTTAAAAATAGCTTACTAGTATAAATATATATTATAAAAGATGTTACTATTTGGCAGTAAAATACTAAAAGAGAAACCAGTCTTTGTGTTCATACTAAAAAAAAACAGACCTACTCTTCCTTGTATGGCCCAATTTAAGACTAAGAGCTGGTAACAACTACCTTACCAACCTAATTCTATCTGTAAGAAATGTTCAAATAAACATCAACATCTATAATGCCAAAAACCCATTATACCACAGTATGATAAAAATAAATATGATCTACAGAATTTCCTTCTCCACTCTTGTCCTCCACCCCCACCCCCAATATTCTTGAGAGAGAAGTTTTTTCTACCAAATGGTAACAATTGGCAACCAATTGTTTGGGCAAAATCTCAACTCAGCTAGATAACTCAAATTTATAAAACTGAATGAAAAATTGCATAACAAATACCACTGCCTTAGCTATAAACCATGCAAAAACATAATGCCTTTAGGTTTTTATCCTAGTTCTTAAAAGAATAATTTTTTAAGAAAATTTAAAAATACTAATTTATTTTTGCCTAACACATTAAAATTACATATCAATTTATTAAATTTTGAAGATTTATAGTAAGATTATTTTATATCTTATTATAACAACCTTCATTTATTTTTGCCTTGCTAACATATTAGTGCTCACTATATGTGTAAACTATAAACTTACTCAAAGAATGTCATTAAATTAAAATTGACAATTGTCTTTGAACAAGACAGTTTTTATAAGTTTTCCTGCCTTCAGGAAAACCATCAACTTTATAGTTAAGGAAGAACCCAGCCCAACCCAATGACTCAGTGAATAAAATTTAATTAAATTATAACCACTTATGAGAAAATAGCTAGTATTAAACTTAAAAAGTTTTATTATTAAGAAGTGATCTCAATTTAAACTATTATGCTCTCAATTTAAACTTTGTGTCTTAAACAAACATATGAGAATATACTATAGGCAAGTTTACACTTTGAGAAAACTGAACATAATTAAATATAAACAAAGGCATAAGCTTTTAGGACCTGATAAAAATTTTCATTATCAAATAGTTCTATTTCCTGTAGTATAATAACAAAACTACTAAAACCAGAACCTTCCCTTATTCAACATAACCTAATGGTAACAGTATTTGCATAAAAGAAATAGAAACCAGATTATCAAGATGAATTTAATTTTGTATAAATTTTACTATTTTTAATAGTATTGATTAGATGCAGTAAGTTTTATTAGTAAGTTATTCCAGTTGAATAAAAATTGTCTTCCACTAAAGTAATTACATGAAAACTTCTAAAATAATTATATGAGACCTACAAACACAACTGAGCAATGAAAACACAATATTAAAAATTTTTAAACATGTTGGCAAAAAAAAAAGTCACCATACTTGCATACTAACAATGTAGAAAAACATAGTATTCTAATGATTAACATATTTAACAAAAAGAATGCTACATATCAGATATCTTAGAAAGCACATTTTTTAACAAAGTTAAAAGTTTAGGATAAACCACATTAATATCACCTGGCAAAGATTTCAATATTACTGTACTATCATTTAATCATAAAAGAAATTGAGGAATCTAAAAGCAGTTCATTTTTTGGCATACCACATCTAGTATGCTCCCAGACAAAAAAAAATAATCCATATCCCTAATTTCTTGTTTTTTTCTTATCTGTCACCAAAGCATCTGGATACATAAGTTCTGGCAGGGCAGGGGGGATTACTTTTAGAAATTACTTCTATCTAGTAATTTACATGAGCAATTAATGCAAGAAATTTCTTCTAAGTCTCTTTGATAAAAACTTTCCAAAATTCCATATGTTGTTCTAAAGAGTGATACAAAGATTTTAAGAGCCTCATGACTCATCCTAAATAAAATCTTCTAATATCAGAATCCAAACAAAACTCAATTTCGAACTCTTGTGACACAGATTGGGAAAAAAAATTTTTTAAAGGTTCTTCTACTATTTAGATCATTCATATAAATGGTTACTGATATTTGTTGAAGGAGGAGTTCAGACAGAAGAAAGTTACTTTTTGAGTCAACCTGTAAATATGATAATTTAACCTCTACAGTTCCTGCTACTATCAAGAAGCTATTTCAATATTTTACAATTACAGAAATTAAAGCAAGGAAAAATCAGTCCTCAACTTTATACATCATTGAAAAATTTAGAAATCAAAAATTTAAGCTCCCAGTTAACATTAGCTGCTGCTACACAGAGCAAATCATTGAGATGACATAGTCTTATTTAATAGTTCAATTTAATTGTAAGGGTATACCACAGGCATTCAAAACAAATGCAGCTTCACTTGTTCACCAAAAATACTTCCAGAAATTACTTAAGAAATCCAGCTTGGAACTCATAACTGTATCATAGTATGGCAATAAGAGTCTTGGAAAAAACTTTCAATCTTCTGGATAGCCAAAGAAGAAAAAGGTGCTTGTAGCCACTTTGATGAATCCGAAGAGAAGTACTACTACTCAGACCCTGCCTCAAGTTTGATCTTCAACTATTAACATTACCTTATTGGGGTTGAATTTGAGCCAGTTAGACTTCATTCCGGTGATTTCAGACAGAAAATGAGACATCTGGGATATTGTTCCTCCTAGATTAGATGAGAAGGAAAGGTATAGCTGGATGTTTGCTAACTATCTATCTTGACCTTCAGAGAAGATAAAGCATGGGACCCATTATCAAGATTTTTATTTCACGTGCTGCTTTTTCTTATCTTTTCTTCCTTTTCTTAATCCCAACTACTGGCTTCTGAATATTCACTTTAGCAAGTTTACTCATGGAAAAGACTTCATTTTTTTCCTTTAGGCATCTTCAATATGAAATCCTTTAATTTTCAGTTCCAAGAGATTGCAATGGTAAGGCTGATGATTGGCTTGTAACAGCATGCAGCTCAGAGCGTGACTTTTAAGCGGGGGGGAAAAAAATTGACCATGTGTTTGGAGTTGATGTTGCAGACTTGGAGATGAATGCATTGATTCGATGTTGGAAGTATACAGGTCTCTGTCATAACTATCTATATTGAAATTTGTTTAGGTATTTGTTAGTAAGCCAAAAGCCAAGCCTAATTCAACACGCATATTTTAGAGTCATTCTTCAAAGTCTAAAAATATTTTCAAATCTTACATAAAACTGTCAGATCTTCGATCTATATAAATGTTCACAAAACTTCCTTAAGAATTCCTAAAGCAGAATTGTAAGATGAATTCTAAAATACAAGTTCTGATAAAGTCTGTCTCTGTAAAATATGGTTGAATTTATATCAAAGACTGTTAATCTCATAGACCTCTATAAATTGTTTCAATGGAACACAGTCCTGTTGACATAGTCATTCAAAAAATACAAACAAAACTTTTCAATTCCAAAGTTTCCTGCTTTCCAGTAATTTCTACCAATTCAAGTGGTAGACACCTATCTACTTTACCACTTTAATCCCAAATTTTCAAAGTATTTCATAATTATAAATAATTGTTTCATAATTCTAGTAATCTAATTTACTCAGATAAAATTTTTCAATGATCCCATGAACACATTACCAGTCAAATTAGTTTTAGAAAAGTTTACTCCATAAACAATATTTATCTAATTGGTGCTATATGCTGCATATCACAATATAACCTGGATTTTAAAACTGAAACACATCATACCACTTACATAGGAGGCCATTAGAGCAAAACTGACACGTGCATGCTGCAAAATCTGGTAAATTAATCCACTGTTATCTCTAAGCATTATGTTTTAATTATGGTTAAACAGCATACATTATTAGTAAGAGACAAAAAAAAATTTAATTCACATATTCATACCTTCACTGAGCTGGTTCTCTGATGAAAGCATACTTCCTGATGGTAAGGGACCAACTGAACTTGAACCTTCTACTCCCTGCCTCTTCTCAAAACTAAACTCTGGAAGCCTTGGAGCCTGGGGTCTGGTTTTTCTTGCAGGATTCAGGAAAAAACAGTAGGCACATCGAAAAGCTGCAAATTTTTTTTTTTAAATAAGCAAAATCATAAACCAAAGAAAGTTCAAAGACTAATCAGATAATTCACAAGATTACTTTTGTAAACAAAGAACCTTTCAAAAGCTATTTATACCATGTGAAATTCATGTTATTATTATTTTTATTTTTTATGGGCACTGGAGATTGAACCCAGGGGTGATAAACTACTGAGCCATATCACTAACACTTCTTATTTTTTTTGACAGGGTCTCACAAAGTTGCTTAAGGCCTCACTAAGTTGCTGAGGCTGGCTCTGAACCTGTGATCCTCCTGTCTCAGCCTCCTGAGCTGCTGGGATTACAGGTGTGTGCCACCACGTCCAGAAGATTCATGTTATTTTAATCACATCATGGTAAGTTTTCTAAACAAAGTTAATTTTAAAGCATACCTCCTATTATTATTAGAATGAGAGTATTGATTCCAAAGCAGAAAAGACTATACTACTAATGATTTAAATATATTACTGAATTTGTATTTCTAGTTAACAGAACATTAGATATTCTAAAATCTAGAACCCTGTTTATTTGCCAAAAGAAAATGCAGTATGTCATATTTCAGAATCAAAATTTATAACAAATATTTGATACATGTCTGCACAAGAGAATCATCTGGGAACTTGAAAGAAAATGCTGAGGCTTAGACCCCAATTAAATTGGATTCTTTGTTGGTGGGTCCTAGGTATCATAATTTTTTAAAAACTTTTGGGTGATTCTGAAGCACATTTAGTTTGAGAAAAACTGGCTTAGTCACTGTATATTATATGAAGAAGAAACCTTAGCTGTCTTTCCTGCTTTGCTCTGGGTATTAAATAAAAACAATATGCCCAGCCAATGTATACAAAGACAAAATCTAAAATAAAATGGCATTGCATAGGAAGTGGCATAGAGTAAAATATTTGAGTAAAATATTATGTCTCACTGCCCAATAATTCTTACCAATGTATTCAAATTCTTCCTTCAAAGCCATGCCATTATGAGAAAAACACTGCTGACATATAAGAGCATACCTACACCAAAATGAAAAAATAAACATACCAGTCACAAAAACAGGCAAAGTTCACGGGAAAGGCTATTTTAGCCATCATGGCTAATTTATATTTTAAAACAACTAAACATGCTATAATAGATTAGATACTACTTAGAATATCATAAACAATACTCCTTAAAAGCCTAAGTTAATCTACACCAAAGTCTCAACCTTTTTAAAAGATAATTCATATAGCAAATTAAAAATAAAGTGAAGAAATCCTTATTAAGTCAGCAGAAACATATCTGATAACAGTACACTTAAATTCCAGTGTTTCCCAATGTATATTCTTGGGGGTCATAGTTTCCAAATTTGTAGTCAAATATGTTTGGAAAAGATGGAACCCTCTTGAAGAGTCACAATGAATATAATTAAAACCTCTGAGAAATCTTGCAATAAAAAATACATTTAATTTTATGTAATTTAGTCCAAAGTTAACTTCTAGACATCATCATTCCTATACTTTTCTGTTACACTTAAAAATCTACTATATATATTGTCTGTTCTCTGAACATCCACTCAACAAATAGTTGGTTCAATCCAAAGTAATTCTGTTCTAAATAATATATAATTTATTTGTTAACATTAAACTCTGGTGTCTTCTATTAAAATGATAATATTAACTCATAAAGTTATATCTACTCTACTATCCAATGAATACTTTAAGTTTATGCTAAGACAACTGTTCTGTTCACATCACATCTATCTTCCTAGAGTTATAATTAACATAATAATTGGAAAAATATTTTGATAACTTTAAGTGCTAAGTACATGTAAATGATTTTCATTATCATTAAAATCATTACCATCACCATGTCCAATAATGACATCTACAAAAATCCATTTTTACAACCTACCAGGTTTTCATTATTTTTGTGATTCAAGTTTAAACATTTCAAAGAAAGAATTCCAGTTCTATAAAATTAATCTTTTGGGAGAGTTAACTTCAGTTTTTTACAAATGGATCTTATTTACACTACTTTGTCCAATTTTCCTAGTAAAACACAACTGAACACATATTATTTTATACAAAACTCTATTATGTTCTAAAAATCAGGAAATGGGAGCCACAAAAGTATAACAGCTCGTGTGTGTACACACACATCCATACCAATATTTTCATCTTCCTTTATCTACCACCCTAGCAAACATTACCTGTTCTGTGGACCATCACCAACTAAATATTCAACAATCCTATCCAGAGCACCTCGTTCTCGGGGAAGAATGGGTCTTGCCAAAGGTGGACCTGGAGGATGAAGGCCTATTAAATAAATAAATATACACAAATAAAATTTATATGAATAAGATACAAATAAAATTTAATTCAATTACCAAGAACTACGTACGCTTGCTAGAACTCTTTTGGAAGATTTTAACAAAACAGTAAAATATTAATTCTTATAAATCTCTATAAAACACTTAAATTTTCATTAAAAATAATATACTACAAAAATAACTATTTAAATATATGCTACATCAGCAACATAATTAGGAGATAACCATGTAAGATTCTGTACAAACTAATTTTTAACACACCCAAACTCTTAAAGCCCTGTAAAAATAAATTAGAAGACTTCCATTTTATATTCTAAAAGAGTAACAAGGATAAGATTTACCACCCCACCTAAAATACTACGCAAAATATAGGAACTAACAGACTATTAAAAACACAAGATAACAGGCTATGTAAGTTAATGTTTCTTTAGTGACTAAAACAAAATATGCCCAACAATTGCCTCAGTTTACTGCCTACAGGGTTTCCAGGAAGTACGGCAAGGAAAGTAAAACCAGAGAAAGTACAGCAGTTACAGCAGTTCCCAGAGTTGAGAAGAGAGCACTGGAACTCTGGGGAAGCCAGGGCAGCTCGGGTTCATGTGAAAGAGTACCAAAGAAGGGAGACAAAGATAGAATACTTAAAGATCTTCAAGAGGGTCTCCCAGATTACTAGGCAGAATAATGACCAGTGCATGCGTGAGAGGAAACTACCTCAGACTAGAAGAGCCAACCAAAAAGATGAAAGAAATTAGTACTCAAGAACAAAAATTACTGCCTATTAAAATAGCTACAGTGGAAAATGTAACACACAGGTCATTGGGCAAAGTATTCAGAAGAGTTTTGTAGAGGAATAAAAAAATTTTACATTGTCTGGCACCAAATCAAAAATTACTAGCCATGCAAATAAACAAGAAAATAACACCCATTAATAAGAAATATTAACCAAAACTGGCCCAGAAATTGACAGTTGATTGGTCAGCAAAAACATAAAAAACTTATTTTGTCTTATCTTCCACGTTTGAGAATCTAGAGGAAAGATACTGATCAGTATGTTAAGTAGAGACTGGAAAAAACTAAAAACATCTAAACTCAACTTCTTCAAATGAAAACTACAATGTCTAGGATGAACATTTTACAGGAAAGAGGTGAACAGCAATTTAGGTATTGCATAAAAAAATATTGGTCAACTTGAAGATGTAGCAATAGAAGCCATACAAAGAATTTTAAGGGAAAAAAACATCAGCAAGTTGTGGGACAACCTCAAGCAGATAAAGATATAAAATATACACTCAAAACTGAAAGAATTTATCACTAGTAGAACTACTTTATAAGAAACAACAAAAATCAGGCAGACGGAAAGTGACAACAGACAAAAAGCTGCTATGTGAAGGAATAAGATGCATCTGCAAAGGTTACCATGTGGGTAAACAAGGACACTTTTTATTATTTGAGTCCTTTTAAAAGATAATTTACTATTTAAAGGAAAAAATAATTTATTATGTGATTATAATATACACAGAAGTAAAATGTGTAACAATAAAAGCACAAAGACCAGAAGAGAAGCACAAGCACAAGCAAATTGTTGTTAAGATTCTCAAAACTATATGTGAAATGGTATCATATCATTTGAAAGGGTTTGTGATAAATTATACACTACAAACCCCAAAACAACCATTAAAAAAACACAAAAAAGTATTATAACCAATAAGACAGCCAATAAGATTAAATGAAATTATAAAAGCTAACCCAAAAAAAGGCAGAAAAACAGAAAAGGGTAACAGAAAAAAAAAAGGGGGAAAAAGGGGGGGGGGACAAAAAAACTCAGATGGAACATTTGAACTCAAACCCAAACATGCAAACATATAAATCATTATATTAAATTTATGTGACCTGAATATCATCTTAATGAAGAAAAAGATTATAAGAATGGATAAAAATCAAGAAGAAATAGATAAATACACAATTTTACTTAAAGATTAATATTTTTCTCAATAATTGATAAAATAAGCAGACAGGAAAAAAAATCAGGAATAATACAGAACACTTGAACAACTACTAACTTCACCTAACTGACATTTATACCTGCTGCTCTACCTAAAAGGGACACACTGTATGTTCTTTTCAAGAAAACAGAAAACATTTACCCATACATGACATTCTGGACATAAAACAAGTCACAGTATATTTAAGAAGATTCAAAGCACACAAAATATGTCTTCTGGCCACAACAGAAATTAGAAATCAGCAACAGAAAAACATTTGAAAAATCACTAAATATTTGGAGGCTAAATAACATACATCTAAAGTAACCCAAGAGTCAAAGCAAAAAAAATCAAAAGTATTATAAAGTATTTTATATAATACTTTATAAAGTATTTTAACCAAAAAAAAAAATAAAAATTTTGATATACAGTTAAAGTAATACTTAGAGGAAAACCTGTTTTTAAGAATGATACGTTCAAAATCTATGATTTCGGCTTCATTCACAACTTCAGTTTCTACCTTAAAAAACTAAAAAAGAAGAGCCAGGCATGGTAGCACATGCCTGTAATCCCAGTGACTCAGGAGAATGAGGCAGGAAGATCGTAAACCAGCCTCAGCAACTTAGTGAGAGGCCCTAAGCAACTTAGCAACACCCTGTCTCAAACAACAAGCAAACAAAAAAGACCCTGTCTCAAAATAAAAAACGACTTGGGGATGTGGCTCAGTGTTGAAGCACCCTGGGCTCAATCCCCAGTACCAAAAAAAAAAAAAAAAAAAAAGAACAAAACTAAAAAGGAAGAGCAAATGAAACCCAAAGGAAACAGAATAGAATATTAATAAAATAAAATATATAAAAAAAAATAGATAAAAGCTGGTTCCTTGTAAAGATGAATAAATTAACAAACTTGTAGCCAGACTAATCAGAGGGAAAGAGAAAGCATTCCAAAACACTTGTGAGAAACAGAACTGTGGTTGTAGGTCAGTGGTAGAGCATTTGCCTAGTACGTGTAAGGCACTAGATTTGATCCTTAGCACCACATAAAAATAAATAAAATAGAGGCATTCTGTCCATCTACAACTACAAAAAAAATTTTTAAAAAAGAAGTGACAGAAACAGCATAACTCCAGATTGTAAAGATATTAAAAGGAATATTATGAACAATGTTATGGCAATAAATTCTAAAGTTAGATGTAACATTCCTTGAAAGACTACCAAACTACCAGATCTCACTCAAAAAGACACAAACTATTTGGTTTGCTAAAATTTTGTCAAGAATTGTTACATCTTGCACAAAACTCAACTCAAAATGGATCAAGGACCTAAGAATAAAACCAGAGACCCTGCATCTAACAGAAGAAAAAGCAGGCCCTAATCTCCATCATGTGGGACTAGGCCCAACTTCCTTAATAAAAACTCCTATAGCACAAAAATTAAAACCAAGAATCAATAAATGGGATGGATTCAAACTAAAAAGTTTCTTCTCAGCAAAAGAAATAATCTGTGAGGTGAATAGAGAGCCTACATCTTGAGAACAAATCTTTACCCCTCACACAGAGCACTAATCTATAGGTTATATAAAGAACTCAAAAAGCTAAACACCAAAAAAACCCAAATAACCCAATCAATAAATGGGCCAAGGACCTGAAAAGACACTTCTCAGAAGATGATGTACAATCAATCGGCAAATATATGAAAAAATATTCATCATCACTAGCAATTAGAGAAATGCAAATCAAAACTACTCTAAGATTTCATCTCACTCCAGTCAGAATGGCAGCTATTATGAAGACAAACAATAATAAGTGTTGGTGAGGATGTGGGGAAAAAGTTACACTCATACACTGCTGGTGGGACTGCAAATTGGTGCAGCCAATATGGAAAGCAATATGGAGACTTGGAAAATTGGGAATGGAACCGCCATATGACCCAGCTATCCCTCTCATAGGTCTATACCCAAAGAACTTAAAAACGGCATTCTACAGGAACATAGCCACATCAATGTTTATAGCAGCACAATTCACAATAGCTAAACTGTGGAACCAACCTAGAAGCCCTTCAAAACATGAATGGATTAAAAAATGTGGCATATATACACAATGGAATATTATTCAACAATAAAAGAGAATAAAATGATGGCATTTGCAGGCAAATGGATGGAGTTGGAGAAGATAATGCTAAGTGAAGTTAGCCAATCCCAAAAAAACAAATGATGAATGTTTTCTCCGATATAAGGAGACTGATTCATAGTGGGGTAGGGAGGGGTAGCAAGGGAGGAATAGATGAACTCTAGATAGGACAGAGGGGTGGGAGGGTAAAGGAGGGGGCTGGGGTTAAAAATAATGTTGGAATGTGATGATCATCATTATCTAAAGTACATGTATGAAGACAAGAATTGGTGTGAATATACTTTGTATACAACCAGAGATATGAAAAATTATGCTCTATATGTGTAATATGAATTATAATGCATTACACTGTCATGAACATTCTTAAAAATTAATTTTTAAAAATGAATAAATAAAAAAGGAAAAAAATCTGTTATATCTTGGGCTGGCGTAGTAGCGCAGTGGTAGAGCACTTGCCTAGCATGTGTGAGGCACTGGATTCGATCTTTAGCACAACATAAAAATAAATAAAATGAAGGTATTATGTCTGCCTACAACTAAAAATATGTTTTAAAAAGAATTGCTGCATCTTATGTTCACATGTGATATTATTCTACAGTTTTTCTTTAAAAAACTGAATTTTCAGTGAGAAAAAAAAAAGAAAGAAAAGAAGATCCTTTTCCACAAAGGAAACACTAAGCCCGATGCTTCAATTGGTAAATTCTACCAAACATTTAAGGAAGACGTAATACCAATTCCATACAAACTTATCCAGAAAACTAAAGAAGAGCTATGAGGCTAGTATTATTCTGATGCCAATACCAGACAAAGATATTAAAATTATATATATATATATAATATTATTAATTGGTCTGTAATATATATATTAATATTACAGACCAATATACCTTGACATAAACATTTTTAACTAACTGTTAGCAAACTGAAAACATAAGGACCAAGTGAGATCTATCCTAGGAAAGCAATGTGGTTGAACATTTAATGTTCAATATAATTCACTACATGAACAGATGCTAAAACAAAACAAACACATTATGAACATCTCAATAAATGCAAAAAAAAAAGTATTTTGAAAACCCATCACTTATTACTAACAACTGACTTGGCACTTCCTCAACCTGATAGAGTTATTTATTTAAAAGCAAACACACAGAGCTAACATAATGTGAATGGTGAAGAGGAATTGCCTTTCCGTAAGATCAACACTAAGATAAGGATGTCTACTCTTCCTCACTTCTATTCAAGATTGTATTGAAGGTTCTAGCTAGAGTAATAGGGTAAGAGAAATAAATAAAGGAAGGCCAGATTGGAAAGGGAAAGTAGGACTTTCTTTATTCACTGACAATGTGTCTATCTAAGTAGAAAACACTGTTATCTATACAAAATCTACTAGAACTAATAGTGAGTTTAGGAAGGTTATAGGATATTAGATCAACATACAAAAAATCAAGTGAGTATTTATATACTAACAATGAACAATTAGAAATACTTAATTAATTGCAAAGGCACCAAAAATATAAAATGATTAGATGTAAATTTGGCCAAAAAATGGATAAAATCTATACACAAAACTATAAAATATTGGTAAGAAAAACTAAAGACCTAAATACATGGAGAGATATACTATATTTGATAAATAAGATAATATCAAAAGAGACTAATGGGGAGTGGAGAGTAGAAGACTAACAGTTTATGTAATAATTTATATTAGATAAAAGTAATAGGAATCATATTTTGTATGTGGCTCCCAAGTCTGTGGACAAAAAAAAAAAAAAGTTTGGCTTTTTTCTATTTAAAAAACAAACAAAAGTTTGTTTTTTCAAAAACATTCAACCATTCAAACTTCATAAATTGTGACTCTATGGCCTCTGAAAACAATTATTTATAGGAGATATTCTGAATTGAGAGACAACACAGAAGGTACTGAAAAGAAAAAATGAGAGAATAAAATGTGATGTTTGTCTTTATAAAACAAGACATAATGAACATAAGAGTAAGGTGGATAGCAATGAAGGTTTACGCAGAGACCTCAAAGGAGACTAAAATAAAATGGGACCTTCTTGGAACAAGTCTTGTGATACAAGAATACAAGGTTTTCAAAATGGCTGTGTCAAAAAACTATAATGTATTCAAGACTGGCTTTAGAGTAGTGATACTATATTAATATCTTAAAGGAACATGATTGTCATTGAAAAATAAACTTGAATGTAGACAAAATTTCAACCTGAATAAGCATACAAATTAGATTTTTTCCCTCAGTGCTGGGGGTTAAACCAAGGGTCTTTTACAAAGGCTAGGTGAGCACTCTACCAATGTAGTATAACCCCAGCCCCCAGATTAGATTTTGAAAACATTTAACCAATTCAACTTACTAGAATATTTCAATGAATATGTCCACAAAGCAATCTGGATATATAAGCCAACAGATCCATAAAAATATCTTAAAGCCCTTACATACTTTTAAAATAATGCATCTTCATACTCAAGCTATTATAGACAAGAGTAATTAATACAAATATCAAAAACTATCATTGTAAATATACTGGTCATTTTTACACAGCTTGGCAAATTATCAAGTACCTGCTAGTTATTAATTTTCAAACATATGGGAGCCCTGTGGTAATACACATCAAACTGATTCTCTTTCACAAATATGGTATAATGAAAAAATGAATTATTAATCTTCTCTATAATAAATCATTTAACTCATTCATATTTTTGGCAATGTACAATGTAAACAGTCTTTCGAAAAGAAACTAATTGGAAACTTTAGGAAACATGTTTTATTTACATTCACGTGAAATTTAGGTCATTGTTCCTTCTACAGCCCTATCCTTACATATAAAATACGGCTCTTACGATTATATAAATAGCTAAATTTTTATTTCTTTAAAACTAAATATACAAGCTGGGGTTGTGACTCAGTGGTAAAATGCTTGCCTAGCATGTGTGGGACACTGGGTTTGATCCCCAGCATCGCATTTAAAAAAAAAAAAAAAAAACTAAGTAAACAAAATAAAGGTATCACACAAAAAAATATCTAGATACATAAATGGATATAATTCATGTACTCACACCAAATAAAGTTCATTAATCAACCAGAACTTTATAAATCATGGGTATCCAAACTAAAAACTAACAACTGGAAAGATGAATGATTTTCTTTTTTTTTTTTTTTTTAAACATTTTTTATTTTATTTTTTTAAGAGAGAGAGAGAGAGAATTTATTAACTTTTTTTTTAAAGAGAGAGTGAGAGAGGAGAGAGAGAAAGAATTTTTAATATTTATTTTTTAGTTCTCGGCAGACACAACATCTTTATTGGTATGTGGTGCTGAGGATCGAACCCCGGCCGCACGCATGCCAGGCAAATGCACTACCGCCTGAGCCACATCCCCAGCCCCAAGATGAGTGATTTTCAATCAATTTAACTTTTCTCAATTTCACAAAACTATGTCTGCCTCATAGTGATGTCATATGTCAAATTTAAGTTTTATTTTAAATTCTTTAGAAGCTATGATTTGTATACATTTCAGTTGTAGTCATCTTGTTTATAAATTAAGAAACAAATTTTTTATAAATTTTTTCTAAATACAAATATGTAGTTGTTATAAATAAACACATAAATATTATGTATTCGAAATGGAGTATACTCAGCCCCAAAGAAGAATGAATTTATGGCATTTGCCGGTAAATGGATGGAACTGGAAACTATTGTGCTAAGTGAAATAAGCCAGTCCCAAAAAGTCAAAGTATTTCTTTGATATGCAGAACCTAATCCAAAATAAGGTGGGGGGAATTAATAAAATAGAAGAATAAAGACTAGTTAAGTAGACAAAGGAGAATTAAAGTAAGGGAGGAGAAATGGTATAAAGACAGTAGAATGAATCTAACCTAATATTCCTCTGTGTGTGTGTGTATACATATGTATATATATACACATATAACATATATATGTATATACACATATATATGTGTGTATATATACATATAAATATACCACAGTGAATTTCACCATTATATACATCCTCAAGACACTAATCAAAGGGGGAAAATACTATAATAGCAGAACAATAACTAAAGTACACAGATGGGAATGGGGGTGAGAGAAAGATGGGGAAGGAGAAGCACTGAGGAGTGAATTAGAACAAATTATATTCCATGCTTTTATAATTACGTCAAAATAAAGTCTACTGTTATGTATCACTAACAACCAACAGGAATACTGAAAAAAAATAAAATAAATCATAATTTTTTTTAAAGAGAGAGAGGGAGAGACAGAGAGAATTTTTTTTTTAATATTTATTTTTTAGTTATCGGCGGACACAACATCTTTGGTTTTTTTGTATGTGGTGCTGAGGATCGAACCCGGGCTGCACGCATGCCAGGCGAGCTCGCTACCGCTTGAGCCACATTCCCAGCCCAAATCATAATTATTTTTATAAATTTATTATAAATATATAATTGATAAAAATAACCATAAATATTATATATTATGTTTAAAATATAAAATATGTAACATAAATATATAAATTATAAATATATGATCTTATAAATATATCTATGTTGATATATTAATATAAAATATTGTACTATTCATATTTATAATATGTACATATAATAATGTTTATATAAATATAAATATCATAAATGTTTCCTATTCTAAAATATTATGCTGTAATTTTTTTAAATAATTTTTTAGTTGTCAATGGACCTTTATTTATATGCAGTACTGAGAATTGAACCCAGTGCTTTACACATGCTAGGCAAGTGCGCTACCACTGAGCAATAACCCCATCCCTTATGCTGTAGTTTTTAAAGGAAAAAAGGCAAAAAAAATCTATTATAACAAGTAATTGATTTTATTACATAAATGCCAATTATCTGATACCAACTACTGCTATGCCTGTCATCATCATAAATTATATTAGTAATTAATCATGAATATCAAAGTAACCCAAATTAGAACTGAATATCCTAAAATAAAATAATTTATTATCATTAAAAAAAATCTAACATGGAACTCTGTATAAAATAATGTGATATGCTGAGTAAAGCAATGGACTTCCGTGTCCCAACCACACTCCAAAAATAACCACAGAGTAATATATTATATGTTATGCTGTAGAATGGAATCTTCTATAGGTCCACCAGACTGAAAAAAAAAAGAATCTATGCAATAAAATAGTAAAGGCAAATGTTAATAGAACTCTATAGAGTATATACCAGAAAATAATAAGGTTCCATGACTTTAAAAGGGGGGAAGGGTGATCTACTAGTCCATATTAACAACAGTAACATTGGAAACCAAAATGCAGGACTATGCTTCCTGAAATAGATTGTCATATTTAAGAATGTATTGCCAGAACTAGCAAAGAACATGAATACTTTCCAAAAGTATTCTCTTCTATCCCTATTACATATAAATCTGAACCTTCTAAAGTTGAATATAAAAAGATATGCTAAACTATTGACTACAGAATACTACAAAGTTTTATTGCCATTTAAACAAAGAAGCCATAACAGTTAAATGAGCTCAAGAAATAGGTTTCAGTATCACAAGGTGCCAGCTGTAAAGAGTTATGGCTAATTGAATATGGAACTCCTGCTTAATCAGATAACTGCTCTGCTATTTCCAAATGAAATGCCATTTCCATACCGTCTGAAAATGGCCTGTTTTATTGGTAACCAGAGAAAACAATATAAACTGTAAATAACATTAAGTGCTCTGTTTACCCATTCCAGGCACTGAAGTAGCAGGGGATCCAAGACGTCTCAGTAACACATTTGATGATAGGGCTGGAGTAGCAGTTCTTTCTGGTGGTCCACCAGGGGCTGAAGTGTCCTTTGGTGGTCCAGGAGATACCGGAATTTGTGGAGGAGGGCCCTGATTAGAGGTTGCTGGTGTTGGAGAAAGGTTTCTTTGTACTGCAGTTCGCTGACGAATCTCTGAGAAGTGTAAGTATATACTAGATTGAATATTCAACATACCATATTTGCCAACACCACAAATGACACTTATTAAAATTCTATGACACCAAAAGGTATTCTAGGATCAAAAAAAACTACTTGTAATGAGAAATCCATTCTGAACCTACAATTGGACATATTTACACAACAAACCTTGATATATCTACTCATCATCACCTAATTATGTCATGTTTGTTTACAGTAAACCTTCCTAACTCTAATAAAAGAAAGTTTATCAAAATTAGTAGAAATTCCAAATAGCAGGCTTGTTTGTTAAGATTCAAAAATAAGAATAATCTTAAGAAATAAGTGACTGCATATATTATGGAATTATAAAAAGAATTAGTCACAGAAATGGTTTTTTAAAAAGTATTCTTTAGGTACCATGCCTATTCTAATTTATACATTCCTAACTTTTTGCCAATATTTTAATATACGAAAAGTTGTATTCCATATGAAGTTTCATCATAAATAAATCTTAACTTTTAATTGTAAAAATTATAAGATTCTCTGTACAGGTCGGCAAATGTGCCAAATCCAGGCTGCCGCCTGCTTTTGTAGTTTTATTGGAACACGGTTCCACTCTCTTGTTTACATACTGTCTACAACTGCTTTCAAAGAGTTGAGTAGTTACAAAAGAGACCATATGATTCTCAAAGCCATTTACTACCTGGTCTTTTACAGAAAATATTTCACGACTCAATAACATAAAACTAAATTCTAACATTCCCCATTCCATCTAATATCTTACTTGAATGTCAGCAGTAAGATCTCAAAAAGCCCTTTATAACTTTTAAATGCTATGTATCACATTAAATTTTTACAAATTCTGAATTAGTGGGCCGAAACTAAAAAAGTTATGTTTTAATTGGCATGAAGAATAAACATGTATACTTCAAGAAGATAAACACTTTAGAGTTGGATTCAGATAATTAAAGACTTTTGTGAAAGGTTCCCTGAAAGTATAGTTCCGGTGTCAGCTTTAAGTCCACATCAAACTAGTCTATTAACTAGTTAAGGACCTTAATAGTTAAGGTTTGGTTTCTGGCTCTAGCTACATGACCTCAGATGGATTGCTTTGATAAACCTATTTCTTTATAAAATTATGATAAGATTCTTAACCCACAAAATTATTTTGAGGATTAAATAAGATAATGTCCATTCACTAATAGCTGACATTTACTGAATAGTGTTTTTACAACTAGGAATTTTCCTTTTCTTTTTAGTTTTTTGCAGAGCTGGAGATTCAACCCTGGGCCTTGCCCGTACAAAACTAGCACTATACCTCCAGCCCTTACTAAGTTATTTTCAAATTATTTCAGTGATAATTAGTAGAACCAACAAATTTTCTATTGGTTCATAATTCAGTTTCTAATCAAGCCATTTGCAGTTGCACATTAAGAAAGCCATTAAATGTGCACAAATTACTGAAATCATATTAATATTTAATAATTTAAATTGTTAATTAAGAAATAAGCCATCAAATATTATAAATAATTTTTAGCTAATTTTCAGGTAAAGCATACCTCAAAAACAGACATTTTTATTTAGACAAATAAAAATTCAGTATATAATCAGACTATACTGAAAGTAGCTGTTATCCTTTCACTTCTTTTTTTAAAAGAGAGAGAGAGAGAGAGAGAGAGAGAGAGAGAGAGAGAATTTTTTAATATTTATTTTTTAGTTTTTCGGCGGACACAACATCTTGTTTTTTATGTGGTGCTGAGGATCAAACCCGGACAGCATGCATGTCAGGCGAGCGCGCTACCGCTTGAGCCACATCCCCAGCCCTCCTTTCACTTCTTGAATAAAGACTTAAGACTTTGCTCTGAATGAGCATTTACTTTGTGAAAATTAGCACGGACACTCTTTTAATATCAATTGTATGCTACTAAAAGGTAAGGTCTATAACTAATTAAAAAATAACATCATATCTAGTGATCCATAAAAGAGACTTAGCTTAATGTTTCTAAATCTAAATTTAGGCAAAGAGAAAAAAATGTTATAGAAGAATCATGAAAGGGAAAATAGTTTTATCATTTTCAAAGAAAAAGCAGGTAACAAAGGTTTACAATTATCAATAGTTTTAAATAGCTAGAAATACAGTGCCAAATCTATACTTGGCAAAATATTATGAAACAATCTTAGCTATTCTTAGAATAGCTAAGATTTATCTACTTTTAGCTACTTGTCATTCACAAATGTTTTTATGTTAAAAACAAAAGTTCCTAACAAAGCAGGCATATTGTTTATATTCAGTATTTCCTACATTCAAATGTAAAATACAATCCTCCAAAAGAAAATTATCAAGCAATCTACATCAATGGGGCAAAATATCATAAGGTATATTCTATAAGGTTAATTCTTCACTAGAGAATGTCTGAACATTCTCAATGATCAATCAACAATTCAATAAAAATCATATTTGCTAAGTATGAGGACATGTCTACAATGGCTTTAAATAAATATTAAGCAAAAAAATAAAAATGAGATTTTAAAAATCTACGTCATATTAAAAAAAGAAAGACAACAAAGTTTAAAATTATGATAAATAGCATAGTTATGGAAAGCAAACTTGTTCAAGCTGTCTTCATTTTAGCTCTACTCTGTTGTAGTTCTTGAGCATGCAGGCTTTTCCAAATTAATGACATCTCTCAGTTTAGTTTTCTCATAATGAGAATACTTACCTCTTATGATTGTTGCAATGAGAAAATCAACACATAAGAGCTTAGATACAGCACACAAAAAGTACTTAATAAGTAGTACTATTAATATTAGTAGTGCAAATCTAAAGGTTCCAGAGATTACAATAGATCAAAAGCTAAGCAATCTAAAATTTCTAAAGCAATTATTTAAAAATACATATAGCCAGGCACACTGGCACACACCTGCAATCTTGGCTATTCAGAAGGTTGAGGCAGGAGGATTGCAAGTTGGAGGCCAAACTCAGCAACTTAGCAAGACTGTCTCAAAATAAAGGGCTGGGGATGTACCTCAGTGGTAGTGTGCCACTAGGCTCTATCCCCAGTACCACAAAAAAAAAATAAAAATCTATATAGAGACATTAATTTAGACACTAAGTGTTTTCCAAGTTATTTGTGACCTTGTTAAAAGTGTAAAATAATGACTTATTTAAAATTGAAGTGCAAATAACTCTAGTTTGCTATTAAATAATTCTTGAGATGAATGTTAGACAGTATAATTATTCCTTTTTTTTTTTTAATGCTGATCTAGGTATCTGCAACAGTGACTTCAATATCAATTCCTGGCTCAACACTTATAGAAATAATCTGCTTAATAATTTCAGAAGGAGCAAATCAATGAGTCACTTGTGGATTCTCACCTGGAAACAATCTCACAAAGCATTTTTCTTGTAGTAAGTCTCAAAGTCCTGTTAGGCATCTAGGTGATATCCTGACTTCTCCTTCCACGCACCACTTTCCAAATCTGAAACTGCCATCAAGTCCTGTCAATCTACTCCTGGGTTATCTCTTAACTCATTTTCCCCAGTCAATTAGATTGCTGTAATTTTAGTGCAGGCCTTTCTCTGTTGTCTATATTAAATGATATCCTAACTTGCATCCATGTCTCAGCTTTGTTCTCTCTTCAATCCATTCTCCATGCTACCAAGAAAAAGTGTTCTTAATCTAAAACTCAAAGCCTGGAGCTGGACGTGCAGTTCAGTGGCACAGCACTTGCTTAGCATGTGCCAATTTTGATCCCTAGAACCAACAACAAAAATAAATAAAAATAAATTAAAGTCTCCAGTGGCTTTCCATGCCGCATATAAATAAAGTCTCACCACATAATATTGTACACAAAGTATTTTTTTGATCACTTCTTCACATGAACCCTACCCTCCCTTTTTCAAGGACCAGGATCTATTTGCAGTTCCTCAAGGTACTGAGTTGTTTTTCTGTCATTGCCCATGAAGTGATACATTTACCTAAAGAGTATTTTCCCAACCCTGTTCTCATAGAAAATTATAGTGATTTATTGCCTACCTTCTACCTTAGTATAGTCCTTAGAACACTAAGACTATTTATTTACTTATATAAACTATCTATCTATTTATTTATTTATTTATTTATTTATTTATTTATACCCCTTTTAACCAAAAACTAATAGGCAGGAACTGCATCTTTATAGCAGCTGCAAAGTAACTGACAGAGTATGGAATTTTAAAAAGTCTATGAAATGAATCTACTTTTCTCCTGCTTTTCAGTTTTAAATTTCTAACTGCATGTTACCCTACATACATGGTATGAAAAGCAGCATAATGGTCTCCCAAAGACATCTACATCCTTATCCCCAGAATTTGTAAATATGCTGCTACATTCAAGAGGAATTAACATTGCAAATGAAACTGAAACTGTGAATTAGCTGAATCAATCTGCGTTGCCTGCTGCATTGAGAATCTCATCCTAACTTCATTTTAAAAGGCTAATTTCAAGCAGATAATCTGCTAATATTAGGGAACGGTGACCTGTAATCACAGGTATTCAGAAGGTTGAAGCAGGGAGTTAGAGGCCAACATCAATAATTTGGAAAGACCCTGTCTCAAAATAAAATGCTGGAAATATAGTTTAGTGGTAAAGCATTTGAAGCATTTGCCTATCATGCTCAAGGCCCTGATTTAACCACCAGTAGCAACAAAAAAAAAAAAAAAAAAGAGAGAGAGAGAGAGAAAGAAGGAAAGAAAATTTGCTAATACATGCCACTTGCAAGACTTTAGCTGAGTTTACCTTTTTGTTGTTGATCTGTATTTCAAAAAAAGAATAACATATTTTTGCTTTATAGTTCCTCATCTCAATGTTTCCTTTTTTGTCACATCATTATACTTCTAGTCTGGGTTGTCTTCTTAGCTATCAACTTCAAACAACCTGTACCTTTCAGTTCATCAAGGTTCTATTCACAACATTTAAACAAACTTTGGAAATGCTAAAAAATTCTTTTCTTTTTATTTCCTTCAACTCAAC